GTTGGCACTTTTGATTATGCGCATCTGACAATAAAATGATAAAAAATATATTCCGTTAAATAAGTATACCATAGAAGTAAATTATAGTAAAATTCTTAAATTTTTATAATTGTACTTAAATGTTATAGCGTTGTTCTTAAATTGCTATAATATAGAAATAACTAATATAAATTAATAAATATGTTATTGGTATTCTTCTTCTCTGCGCAATTGTAATATGTTGTAAATATATTTTCAAGTGGAACCAAAATAGTTTAGTGTTACTTTTGAGCAGTGAACTTTCGAAAACAATTCTCAGTGCATTTTTGTTAGTAACATTTAATTTAAATGACTCAACTGTAAGTGTTTACCCATAGTTTAAGTTATAACAATAACGTTACATTAAGATGCCTACAGAAAAAGGAAAAACTTCAGTTTAGAAACATGATTAAAAATTACAGAAAATGCCTCTGCCAGACCACAATAAAGGAATTCAAAACAACAACAGGTAGTTTATAGAAGTAAGATGATCAATTTGCATTAGGCCCACCAGCGGCAGAGCAGTAAAGTCGCTGAACACTGGTAGTTCGGTCCGAGGTTCGAATCCCGCGAACGGGCTGGCTGCACGGGCGTTTTCGTGGTTTTCCCGATGTGTAACGTGTATACGAGCCAGTTTCTCTTATAAAGTCCTCCTCGAAGGCATCCCTCCCCTAGGCAGATAGCCCTCGTGTGCTTTGCCATAATTAACTACACAAACACCATTTGCATTGTGCAATACGCACTGTTTTCAAGCAAAAATCGATTAACCGGAAGAGAAAACCAAATAGTCAGATTTTATTCAACGAGTATTTGAATAAACAGTATTTTTTGTTTTTGAAATTGTAAAAGAATTTTAAATGTTGCAAAATTTTATGTTATTAAACCAGTTATTATGATTCGAACCTCTGCTTTAACTTGTTTCAGTACTATTAGCATTGTATTATATTTCATTATAATTACAATATACAATATTTGCACCCTAAGTACTGCATTATATTCTAACTAGTCTATTAACTTAATTTACTTATTATTTTAATTATTGCATTAATTATTGTATTGAGTAGGTAGTTATGTAATATTATGTTGAGTTATAAGCTCTACCCTAAGAATATGTGATGCAACATATTGAAATTATGAACATCGTTTCGCAATGTATGCTTTAGTATGGAACTGTAAATTAAATTCTTTGCAATACAGGAACTGGATTATTAGCTGGATTATTAGCATAACGTTATAAGTAGTCTTGATTCAACATGGCATTAATCATTTTATTGAATTACATGCAGAATTTTAGACTTTAGATTTTAGATTTAGTTTATTGATCTTATATTGAATTATATGTCGTGTATTGCATATTGCACAGAATTATTAATATTGAATTGATCATAGGTATTTTTATACATTGCATTGGTATATTTATACTGCTGCAAAATATGTCTTTTTATCCTCAGTATTGTGCTGAAGTGTTGCTCTTGTGTATTGTATACAAAGTATTGCATTTAATTCGCTTTAGTTATTAAGAACATTGTCTTTATAGGCATCATACTATTAAGAATATATATAATGCACTTCTTTTTATACCCTGAGATACGTACTGAATTAAATATTGTATTAATTATTTTACTGAACTAGCAATTGTGTTAAAATACTGTATGAAATTTAAAGTAGTATTTTGGTCTCATTTTGCATTAAATATTCCATTAAATATTATAAATAGTATCATAGACGTAGCTTATCGATTTTATACTGTATCATATGTCTTGTATTGCATATTGCATAGAATTATTACCAATTACTTGACAATATGTATTTTTCTACATTGCATTTGTCTATATACTGTCGCATACTCTATTTATTTACTCTTAGTATTGTATTGTACCTATTGTTTTTGTGTCTTGTATACTAAGTATTGTATTGATATTAAAAGCATTGCTCTGTAAGCATGTTAATTTAAATATTGTATCACATATCTTACGTATTTGCAGTACATCATATTATATCGTATAACCGTATTGCATAATATATATATTAAATTGTGAGCTTCGTATGGATATGTATCATCTTATATGAAATTGCAATGTTGTGAGCATCGTATACATAATAAAATTGCACTATAAGTCCCCTGCAATACAGGAAATGTATAGTTGGTATCGTAATATAAATATTGTATCATTAATTTTGCATTAACTTTTGTAATTGCATGATATAGCATCCATTATCTTACGAAATCATATTGTACTGTAAATCATATTGTACTGTATACTGTATTATATAATATATACATTAAATTGTGAGCATAGTATAGATATGTATCATCTTGTATAAAATTGAATTATAAGTTCCCTGCAATACAGTACTGTGTAATATATACTAAATTGTGAGCATCGTATAGATATGCGTCATCTTGTATAAAATTGCACTAATATAGGAAATATACAGTTGGTATAGTAATATAAATAGTGTTTTATTAACTTTGCTTTAACTATTGTATTGAACAATGTGGCTTATTGATCTTATATTGAATTATCTATCTTGTCTTGCATCTCGTACAGAATCATTAGTATCGTTTTACCTTGTATTGGTATATATCTGTATATGTGTGTATATGTGTATATGTGTGTATGTATATATATATATATATATATATATATATTTATATATAGATATATAATGTATCCTTTTTACCTTGTATTGGTATTTATATAGTTGCATAATGTATTTATGTATTGTGTCCTTGCTTTGTACACTAACTATTGTATTGAACCTACCATCAGTATTAAGATCATTACATCACCGATATCATACTATCAGCATTATTATCAGCCTAGTATATAGCAGCAGGAGCAGTTTTTGAATATTTAGCATTGTATCAGTTTATAGTACTGTTTGTAAGTATTCTAGTAGTAGTTTTGTAGTATTTTAGTATGTGGCAGTAGTAGTTTTGTAGTATTGTAGTATGTAGCAGTAGTAGTTTTGTAGTGGTGTTTACTCCTTTGGTTTTCTATTATTATCTCTATCTGTATGTGTTTTGTTCTAATTATGTCTATGTGATTATAGTATTTATTCAAAACTGGCACTTGCACCTTTGTAATCTTATGCTTTGTCAAAACTACAAATGTACGCTTTATTTATCTATTTATTTTATTTTTTTGATCCCTTGTCTGGCCATGTATTTGTTGAACTTGATAAATACTAGGCCCGGGCGGTTGGTGTGAACATGCTTTTGGGGGCTTCTTTGGTCTTTCGGACTGCCACCTGGATGGCCTGGTCGCTGGGTTTCGGTGTATGGTGCGAGGCGCCTCTGTGGCCCATCTGGCTCAAGATAGAAGGGGACGTGTTGCATATGCCAATTAACCATTACGGTAAAGGGATGGTGCACACGTCCCCCGTCAACTATCAACTATATTAAATTTACAAAAATAACCGAGGCTCGTCTGCAACAATGCCTTCTCTTTATTTAAGAATTAAATAAAGGACCTTTTTAGGACATGGATCATTTGCTTCAAATCAAACTGATAACTCGCTTTGCAGTCTAGTAGGGTCTGCAGGACACTGAAATAAGCTTTTAGACACAGCACAACACTACATTTGGTGGCCAGTTCTATAACGAACCGCATCCCAAGAGAATGCAGCTTAAGAGTTAAGTTGCTGCAGCACCAAAAAGTTCTATGGAAGGATTAGGATTTATTGTGGCAACTATGGTAGCATATGTGAAACCATACAATAGTTTCGAAGATAGAAGTTCGATATTTACTTTCCTGAAATTCTAGACCAGCATTTGTTATTGTAACTCGTTGTAGAAATACAAACGTGGCCTGGCCATAGCAACCCTGATGCTGCGAGATTAAGCATTGAAATAATATAAAGGCATGGAAAACTATTTTCTAGGTAAACCAAGGAGTAGGAACTATACGTTTGAGGTATTTAAAACCATATTTTTGAGATTATACCCTGTTGTTAAACAAGTCAAGTTGAAAGTGTAGCTTTGTTGTAAATATCAGTCCATTAATCGATTTTATTTTACGAAAAGTTTAGGTGTTAAGTTTGTAATACAGAAAAACAAAACTGACGCAGAGGTTACTCGGTATTACCGAGGTTGTTGCCGCATACCCAAGATGCGGAGACCTGGGCTTCAAGACCCACAGCTAGCAAAATGTGTTATGCTAGAACAGGTTTTGAAGTTAGCTGTAAAATTTAAAAGTCAGTCTGTGTTGGTAAATTTGCGTATGCGGAAATCCGATGAAAGAGTTAGCGAAAATTTTGGAATGTATAGCTCCGGCAGGAGAAGTTTTGCAAAATGCTTCGCCCGCCGGTTGCAATTGCCACTATAAGTCTCAAAAAAGGAAAGTGGATGATAATAAGCAGAGATATGTAATTCTGGTAGGAGTACTGTCACCATCAAAGATGTCAGTCATCTCAAATGAAAGAAAACATGCCCTATATATTCAATAAATACGAAATTAATTAAAAACCTCTCACTCCCAAATGTTCGAATTGTGGGAATGGAATTCGTTCAAATACTTTACTGAACAGAACCGCGCAGACAAATTTTAGAAAGTATAGATTATTCCATGTTGCAAGCATCAAGCTGATAAGAAATAAACTCTATTTCAAAGTGAGCAGTGACAATAATTTATGGAATAAAACATTTAAACAATTTTATCTCCCGCGCTAGAGATTTATCGGAAACTCCAAAGATATACTGTTTTTAAATATTTTTGTCCCAAAGGCGCTTTAGTCCAACCAGTGTACCAAACTTAAGCTCACAATTGCAGAACATAAGTCAAAAGTCCTTTTAATTCCGAAAAAAGGAGGATCCTTAGTAAGACGCCCCACCATAAAGATTAACAACCAACGCCTGCAGATAGTGGACCAGCTAAGATATTTAAGGGTCACTTTTGATCATAAGCTGACCTGGATCCCTCACGTGCAGGATCTCAAACTCCGGACGGCAGCCATAGCCAAACAAATTAAACTCTTTTATGGTCACAAATGGGGGCTTACTTAACCCCCATATTCAAAAGGTATTGTACACGACAGTCATCGAGAAGATAGTGACGTATGCTGCCGCAGTATGGGCCTACCCAATGCAAGGAAGGAAGGTCAGACATCTTAACAGCATACAACGACCATTCGCATTGGGAATCACACGGGCCTACCGCACCACCTCCACCGATGCCATTAACGTACTTGCTGGTCTCCTTCCCCTGCACATCCGGGTTGAGGAGGAGGCAGCACGCCAACACATTTTGCAACTTAAGAAGGCAGTTACTTTTGACGATGAAACATACTACCCGGATGAGTACGAAACAAACTTCTGCCCTCTTGACGTCCACCCGGCAGAGAAAGGCAAAGGGATACTTATCTCAATTAATCCCACTGCAACTCATCACTCAAGGGAAATGACCATCTATACAGACGGGTCTAGATTGGACGAAAGAGTGGGATGCGCCTATGTCGCCACGAAACAAGACAACGCAATCGAGAAATGGAAGGGACAGTTAAGACAACATAACAGTGTCTTTCAAAGCGAAGCAGTGGCAATTGCACAAGCGATTCGCTACCTGCACTCGCACCAGCATAGCCATGTCACCATTAAAACGGACAGCTTATCATCGTTATATGCCATTTGGAATGCAGATCATCCCTCGGAGATTATACAGGGAATCCAGAGAGATCTTAGAAGTAACCCCCCAGTACCGCACAAAATTAGAGTGGATAAAGGCTCATGTTGGCCACTATGGCAATGAACTTGCCGACCAACTCGCCAAAGAGGCAACAACTGACCCGCCTGATGCACCAATTATCATCCCATGGCCGCATTCGTATTTAAAGAAGACACTACGCCTAAGGGCTACTGGCAGGTGGCAGAACGAATGGGACCAAAGCACCACAGGGAGAAAGGACCCACTACTTCATCGGCTATGTGGACACTAGCCGAAATGTAGCGAACGCACAGTTGGTAAGGTTCATTTCCGGGCATGGGCCCTACCCGGAATATTTCTTCAAGCGTGGCATAAGTCACACAAGTCAATGTGCATGCGGCGACTCAGGCTCACCAGAGCACTATCTAACGTCATGCCCATTAACAGAAGAAGGACTGCATATCAATCTCCCTGAAACAAATCGCCAGCCGTTCTGTAAATATATGATAAAACAGCGGCACTTTATTAAAAAGCTGGTACAGTTGATGGACAGACTGTCCGACTTAGATACAGACTTGTGTCAGCCATAGAACAAACCCAGCATGTAAAAAAACAACTTAAGCATTTTAAAAAGGACATGTATTGCAATGTAGGAAAACTGTCATTCAAGTGAATTGTAAGAAACTATAATGTAGACTAGAAACTCACAGTATAAAGACTGCCTGTATTCATACCTGGAAAGTCAGTTGCATTTAACAATGTGCATGTACTGTGTAAATAAATTTCGGCAAATTATACCGTAAGACCATATATAATGAACCGATATATAATGTAGGCATAACGAATGTATGAAAGAAAGTGCATATATCTGTAAGCAAAGTAATGTAAGGGAGTGTAATATATGTAAATATTTTTGTGTATCAGTAAGTAAGCTATGTATAAGTAAGTTATGCAATTTAAAGTAATGCAATATAAATGCAGAAATGTCTAATAAAAATGCATGGGTAACATATATGTTTTGTATTATGAATAAGGGATATAGGATGTCTAACGCAAAGCAATGTATGTATTGGAATGTCTATTTCATGTACTGGAAAATTATGCAATAAGTACCCAAATAACATGTAATGTAAGTAACCTGTAAGACTATTATGTTTGTAAATATTTGTATCTAAAAAATTAATCAGAATGTATCTGCATGTATCTATATGCAACTGCAAGTATATGTAACCTAAGGTTAAGCAGTGTAGGTAAAATTAAGTAATATGTGAAGCAGGCGTGCCTGACTATGTATGTATATAAAAATAATGTAACGCAAGGCACACATGTAATATTGGCATATGTAACTGTACATGCAAACTGTATTTATATGCAATCTACAAGTAATGTAGGTATATTTATTGAAATGTACAGCTAAAAACTGTAACTGTACACAAAAAGTAATCCAACGCAATGTAAGATTAATGTAATTCAGGTAATGCATATGCATTGTATGCCGGAAATGAAAGACAAAGTCAGTATGTAACTCTGTAAATGACGTTATCGATAGAATATGTTAACCAGCAAACAAGAATGTAATACTAAATATTAACAGCCCTTGTATGGCCATGTAATTGCTCTTTTGAAAGACTCAAGGCTCAACTCTAGATATTGGTGGACGTGGCGCTACACCAATTAACCGACGGTAAAGGGGTGGTGCCCACGTCCCCCGTCGCATGTCGCATGTCGCATGTATGCGTATGTAAATGAAAAAAAGACGCTGCTTTGGGGCTAATAAAAAATCTCATGTCAAAAAAATGTCAGCCCATTTTTTTTTCTGTCGTATTCTTTTCATTTATTACAATAGCTTTCTTTAGATATCTTTTCAACTTAAAAGTAATAAAAAATAATATTTGAAAGATATAACATAGCATTAATCGCTCCAAATCCGCCCACCGAAAGCTTAACCTCTTGTTTGGTATGTTTGCTTAAATCTATTTTTTCTTAAAAAAGAGATTGTTGAGATAACTTATACTCTTTTGCTTTTCGCTAGGTATCAACTGTTAATACACTTAGCAAAGGCATTTTATTTTATTATATTGTCAGCTTTAATTCAAATTAAGGATAATTCATTTTAATTTAATTTTAAACAAATGTTTTTAATTTAAGTTTAAATTTGCATTCTAAATTCAATTTAGCTCTGTGTAGCTATGTATCAGAAATATGATATACAGTAAACATTAGTTAAAAGTCCCTATATTTATAACCCAGCATACAAATTTGTGATCTGTCCTTTATGATCGTTTTGCGAAATTTTACAGCCATTTTTTGGTAAACATAGATACACTAATTTAGTTTCTTCCATCAGAGAAAATAAAAATATTTGATAAAATCAAATCATTTTGCAAATATAATGAATGATTCATCAATAGATATTTTACATTTATCAGTAAATTAAATGACATCAAACATCCAATGCCGATATATAAAATTAGGGTAAAATATACATTGCCAATATAAAAAGGTACGATTCGACTTTTATCAGTGTAATAGTATATAATCTCATGCTTTATCGCAATTTTGGATTTTTAGGACTAGCAACAGAATAAAAATTAAACCGACAGCAGAATATTCATCCCAGGGAAAAAAAATCCAAAAGCCTTCAAATTTTACATTACTCCCAAACAGACCTTTTTCAATGTTTTGTGTGTTACATTTATTTATTACATATCATGTTCTTCGCATTTAAACCATAAAATTCAGTTCAACAGCAATATCGCAAAAATAATTTTAAATGAGCATATCTTTAGAATCTCCGATACACAGTCTCGCGCGCTGGAGATAATTTTTTTTAAATGAAAGGGTTGCTTTGCTCGTGTTTTGTTAATCGGTATGCTCGTTAAAATGTTACAAATGTGAACTCGATAATAAAACCAATTTCAAATAAGGGCTTCTAGATGCCCATATTCGGTGAAGGATTAAGTTATAGAAAATTTGATGGCTCTAGATACCGCTGTTTTATCGCAATGCGAAAATCATATATACATTTTTACAGATTTTTCATTATTTAATTTCTTTAAATAGTGGAGGGCTATAATATTTGGTGGCAATAATATGAAAAGTGATTCACCGTTTATATAGAGAATCGAGGCAAAATGCCAAAACAAAATTAACAGCCCTTGTGTGATAACGCCTTTTGGGCTAGAAAGCTATATTTAGTCGTCAAATACTGGAAATTCTTTTTAAATATAAGTAATGTAAAAATATTACAGTCATATTGAATGTTATATACCGTTGATAAATGATAAAAACATTCTAATTTTCACAACTCTATTTTTATCTTAATAGCCATTCACAGAAGAGGAATTTAATTTTTTTTTCCGCTCAGAAAACCAATGAGTACCAGAGACAAAAAAAAGTGTACTAAATGTAATGTTCGTCTTTCCCAAATCGGCTTTTTATTATTTAGCATCCTGTTAGTTGCTCTGAATGGCTAAGAAGAACAATCGATAAGTGTTTTCAGATATATGCCATCGTAATCAAATAGGCATAAATGAAAGTTAAGAACATCATTTAGAAGGCTATAAAAAGTGTCGAATGCAGCAACGTAGTCTTGCTAATGGAAAATCAATGCAGGTATAGTAAATTACAAGCGCATTGTGTCCCGCATTCATTATTTTAGTTGTCAAAGCAGCATGTACAACACTTTTTCCATATTATATCCATTGTAGGATAATAGGTTATGGATACATGACTGATCAAGAAACGATGCATTCGTTAAGATAAAAGAACTGAGATAAATGTGCTGTCGAATCGTATCCGCATAAGGAAAATTGCATTTAATGAATTTATTACGATTCATGCTATTCAAATTCATTTTAAAAGATTGTATACCTTAGAAAATGTAAATAAATAAAAGTAAATTCAATTAAAACTAGACAGAATTCTGAAGCTTAAAACAGCTTCTTACCTCGCTCAAAAATAAGCACGTAGAGAATATATGGTAGGGAGTAACGAACCATGTGTGGCAAAACTCTCATTAAGTTTTTAATGCAATTTTTCATAATCTTGAAATATAATTTCAATTTTATATTTTTCATATCTGCATTCGTCTCTCTGAAGCTATTACCATGACTGTCTCAAGAACAATCTGATATAAGATGAAATTATGTTGTTTAAAATTGTTTTAGTACATTAATATATATATATATATATATATATATAAAGTAATAATTAATGTATATTAAGAATATAACTGAGAATCTAGTAGAATAATCTATCTATATAGCTTAGAATCTAATAGAATAATCTATCTCTATAGCTAAGAATCAATTAAAATAGTCTATCTATAAATCTAAGATTTTAATAAAACAATTAATCAAATTTCATGGCTGGCATGGCTGGGACAATGATAGCAGATAGCTTAACTCTGTGACATAGTGAAATTCTTTAAAGAATTACATAATCACTTGATAATTCAAACATCTCCTTATCACTTATCGATTTCTATGAACAAAACGTTTTGCATAACATAGCACATTAAATGGCTCAGCACGATGGGAGGAACTTCAACCCGAAATTTTGAACTAAACAGTTACATATTTTAACAATGCAAAATGTTGCGGGACACGATTATGCAGGCGACAGTGGGTGAGAAAAAGTAATGCGTAGAAAGTAACTGGAGCAAGGTAAAACAAAGTTATAACTTAATTAGCAATATCTCTGTAGTACATTTTAATTTGTGTATTTCCTCTTTCTGTTCTAACAATAAAAACTTTAATTAACTTTTCTGGACTTCATTTCTAGGTGAATCCATGTCAGATGAATTCTGCATAGCGTTCGGAAGAAAACAAATTACATAAGCCTTTGGCGAGCTTCATTAATAATCCAATCAAAATGAAAACAAAAGCATAACTAACTCACTGTGTATTAAGATTTCGTTATGAATAGATCCCATTTCGCTTCGGCATTTTGGCCTAACTAGGCTATTGCTTGCTGCCCTCTCCTTATTGCAACCATATCAAAATTGTAAATGTTACGTTCTGGAACAGAAATGTTTAGTGAGCCAAGTATTTTGTCTCTTATTCAGCATTTCTCTTCCTTAAAATGTTTAACAAAATAAAACA